CAATGTATCATTGTGTCCTCTCTTTCTTTCTTTCTTTTCTTCTTTCTTAGCACTCATTTATAAGTGAGAACATGTGGTATTTCTCTTTCCATGGCTGGCTTATTTCACTTAACATAATTTTCTTCAGGCTCATCCATGTTGCTGCAAATGGCAGAACTTCATTCTTTTTTATGGCTGAGTAGTATTCCATTGTGCATATATACACAACATTTTCCTTATCCAGTCATCTGTCGATGAACATTTAGGCTGTTCCCATATTTTGGCTATAGTAAATAGAGCTGCGATGAACATGCGAATGCAGCTATCTCTTCGAGGTTATGATTTCCATTCCTTTGGATACATACCCAGTAGTGGGATTTCTGAATCATGTGGTAGGTAGTTCTATCCACAGTTGTTGGAAAACTCTTCATATTGTTTTCCGTAACAGCTGTGCTAATTTACATTCCCACCAACAGCGTAGAAGAGTTCCCCTTTCCCCACATCCTCACAATGATTTGTTATTCTCAGTGTTTTTAATAATGGCCAGTCTAACCAGGGTGAGGTGATATCTCAGTGTGGTTTTGATTTGCATTTCCCTGATGATTAGTGATGCTGAGCATTTTTTTCATGTACCTGTTGTCCATTTGTATGTCTTCCTTTGAAAAATATCTATTCATCTCCTTTGCCCAATTTTTAATTGGATTATTTATTTTTTTACTGTATACTTGAGTCCCTTATATATTCTGGATATTAACCCCTTGCCAGATGTATAGTTTACAAATATTTTCTCCCATTCTGTACATTGTCTTTCTGCTCTGTTGATTGTTTCCTTTGCTGTGCAGAAGCTTTTTAGTTTGTTATAATCCCATTTGTTTACTTTTTCTTTTGTTGCTTATGCTTTTAGGGTCTTATTCATGACAATAATTTCAAATTGGATAATCATGCTTGGGTTATTTTTTTCTTAGCTCATTATTATTGATTATTATTCAATGTAAGGGATGTTTTTCATGATGACAACTGGAATTGTCAATAAAATTCTAAAAGCACAACAGATTTGGATACAAAAACCTGGATTGTCTGTCCTTGAAGACCTGTCCTCACTTCTCTGAGAGGCCCCTAAAAGTCAGGCAGGCATGTGTGTGATTGAGGTGAGGCATAATTGCCAATAGAAATGTAGGCATTTCAAAAAGCTCTGAATCTTAGCCTAGTACTTGAAGGGGGATTTTCTTCACACACTATTGACATCCTGCATGGCTGAGTATTCTCTGCATTTGTCCTACCAGGTTTCTGTACAGGGTGGATTCACCATGTTCTTTAGAGCCTTCTTTGCAGCTTGTTAAGGAATTTTTAGAAAACTCTATCGTAAGGAAAGTAAAACCAGTGTAAAATAAAAAACAGCTTAGTCAGACTCTCACGTCTCACATCTCACGTCTGTTACAAGTGGGCAAGATTCAGCACATTCATTAGGAAGAAGTTATAATAAAGTAATGTAATTGCACGTGTGCCCATTTACTGATTCAGCACATTTGGTGTAGTTACGTTATGCATTTGGCTTGCAGCCACTGTTGTGTATATAGAATACAAAAGTAACTGCTCTGAACCACTGGCCTGCAGAGCCTGAGCTTGTCCTGGAGGAATAAAGCATGTCTGTGAAGCTCACATCTGAAGAATAAAGTATGTCTACCTTGCACAAAGCTGCCAGAACCTTCTTTGAATTACCTAACTCACGACCTACACAGGAAGGGGCAGAAGGATCTGAGATCCAGCATGACATCTATTATAAAGAATTTTGGACACCCACAAAAGCATACAACAAAGAACAGTGAGTTTCAATGTCCCATCATGTACCCTGATGACCACCAGCCCATGGCCAATTGTCCCAGCCACTCAATTATTTTGCATCATTTGTAAGAAAATCTCAAACCCTCTGCCATTTCATGTACTATATGTAATCCACAAAAATAAAGACTGTTATCTAACATAACCATAATCCCACTACTAAAACTTTAAAAAGTGATAAACCCTTTATATTATTGAATATTCAGTATTCTAGTTTGGAATTATCTTATTTTTAATAGTTTGATTTTTTTTAAATCAGCATATAACAAAGGCCTACACATTGTAATTGATTGTAATTGATCATTTTTTAGTAACGTCTTTATTGGGATATAATTGACATACCATTACAATTTATCCACTTAAAGTGTACAACTCAAACTTCTTTGTATATTCATAGAGTTGTGCAGCCATCACCAAAATCAATTTTCGAACTTTATCACATGAAAAAAGAATGCTGCTCCCCTGAGTCATCACCCACCAATGCCTAATCCATCATTCCTCCAACCCTAAGCAATCATTAATCTTACGTTCTGTCTCTATGAATTTGTCTATTCTGGATGTTTCATATAAATTCAGTATCATTCTACATGGTCTTTTGTGTCTGGCTTCTTTTACGCAGCATAATGTTTTTAAGGTTCATCCATGTTGTAGCATGTATCAGTCTTTCATTTCTTTTATTGCCAAATAAGATCCCATTTTATGGACATGCTACATTTTGTTTATCCATTCATCATCAGTTGATAAACATTGGGGTTGTTTCACTTTCAGGGTATTATAAATAATGCTGCTCTGAACATTTGTGAACAAGTTTTTTCATGAACATATGTCCACTTCTATTGAGTAGATATCTAGCAATAGAATTGCTAGGTTGTATGGTAACTCTGTTTAACATTTCGAGTAACTACAAGACTATTTTCCATTTCCCATTCCCTCCAGCAGTATATAAAAGTTTCCATTTTCCACATCCTAACCAACACTTGTTATTCGTATCATCATCATCATCATCATCATCATCATCATCACCTTATTGACTTTTTTAAGCTTTTTTAATTCTGAAAATTTTCAATAACACATACAAGAAGAGTCAGTAACCATCCATATGTCCCCCACTTGATCCAAAAGTCATCAGCATTTTGCTTTATGTGCTTGGCCCTCTCTTGGTCTGTCTTTTACGTCTCCTTTAATCTGCACAGGAAAAAAGCCAAAATCTCGTGGCCCTTATGTCTTCAGCAAAGATGGGTTCATGAGGTTTGTGGGGCCCTGGGGACATGGCTGCTCCGGAGCTCCTTGCTCTGCCTTTCCAGATGAGTTTGATGTCGTTGCCTTAACCAGGCTGGGGCATTTCGCTCTGGCTTCAGAAGGATGATGTAGCACTTGGGAAAAAAGATACCACCGAGCAGCCCTGCAGTAGAGGCCAGGATAGAGAAGATCTCCACAGCCACAGTGGACTTGCCCCGTGCACTGTGGTACAGGGGCAGAAAGGCTGTCCAGACACAGCAGAATAGCAGCATGCTGAAGGTAAGGAACTTGGTCTCATTGAAGGCATCAGGCAAACCCCTTGCCAGGAAGGCCACGGAGAAAGTGCCCACAGCCAGGAGGCCCAGATAGCTCAGCATGCAGTAGAAAGCAACACCGGAACCTTCCTGGCAATAGATGACAATGTGGTGGGGCTTGGAGGACATATCCCTGTCTGGGAATGGAGGGGAGATGCCCAGCCAGACCCCACAGAGAACAATCTGCATGAAGGAAGCAACAAGGACTACCGAGGTGGAGGCACCAGGTCGCAGACACACCCGGACCCTGTCTCCTGGCCTGGTGACCCTGAAGGCCAGGACGACTGTGAGGGTCTTGGCCAGGATGGAGGAGATAGCCATAGTGAACACGACAGCAAAGGTAGTTTGGCGGAGAAGGCAGGTGGCAGCAGTGGGACGACCGAGGAAGAGCAAAGGACAAAGGGCACAGAGGGTCAGTGAGGCAAGAAGGATGTAGCTGAGAGCTCTGTTGTTGGCTCTGACCACAGGTGTGTCCCTGTGCTTCAGGAACACCCCAATAACCAGCAGGGCCACAATGGCCAGTGTAAGCGCCACAGAGGCTAGGGTGAGTCCCAGGGGCTCATCAAAGGCCAGGAAGGTCTCCGTCCTAGGCAGGCAGTAGTCTCTGGTAGGACTCGAGTACTGCTCCTCAGGGCACAGAAGACATCTCTTCACGTCTGCAGGAGACACAGACCTCACATATATAACTTAATAGTAATGACATCAGCTATTTGGAGGGAGACTCCCTATGGGCCACGTGCTCTCACAAGCAGTTCATATATGATGGAGTTTTGACGTGTTGTCCCCTCCAAAACTCATGTGAAAATTTGATCCCCAATGTGGCAGTGTTGGAAACTGATTGGGTCGTGGGGGTGGATCCCTCATGAATGGATTAATGCTCTCCGTGGCGGAGGGGAGAGTAATGAGTGAGTTCTCGCTCTATTAGTTCCCATGAGAGCTGGTTGTTTAAGAAGATCCTGGCACCTCCTCTCTCTCTTTTGCTTCCTCTCACCATGTGATCTGCTTGTACCCACCAGCTGCTGCCACTTTCCGCCATGAGTAGAAGCAGCCTGAGGCCTATGTCAGATGCAGCTGTTCCAGAATCATAAGCCAAATAAACCTCTTTTCCTTATAAATTACCCAGTCTCAGGTATTTTTGTTATAGCAACACAAAACAGACTAGTACAATATATATTAAAGTATTTGTGAATTATTTTTAGTCACCCATACTGGGGTAAGCCACATGAGAGCCTGAGGCACAAGGAAATGTGCCCACAATATAAACATGGTTTTATCTGGTTTTCTGTAATGGTTAATTTTTTTTTTTTTTTTTCCTTTTTGTCTTTTTTACTGACCAGTAACGGGATCGCAACCCTCGGTGTCGTGCCCACACCGGGGACTGGCATCTGGTTTTCTGTAATGGTTAATTTTTTTTTTTTTTTTTTACATAAGTAGCAGAAGCTGTTCTTATTAGCAATTGTTGTAGGCTGAGTTGGATTTTCCTAAAATTTATATGTTGAAGACCCAATCCCCAGTACCTCAGTATGTGATTGTACTGTATTTGGAGATAGGTAAATTAGAGATGAGGTAATTAAGGTTAAATGAAGTCATTAATCCTATATAACTGATATCCTTACAAAAGGAGGAAATTAGGTCACGGATAAACACAGAGGAAAGATATGAGAGGACATAGAGAGAAGGCAGCCATCTGTAAGCCAAGAAGTGAGGCCTCAAATAAATCAAACCTGCCAGTGCCTTGGTCTTAAGACTTCTAGCCTGCAGAGAACTCTGAGAAAATAAATTTGTTACTTATGCCACTCAGTCTGTAATATTTTGTTATAGCAACCTGATAAGAGTTTGGATGTGTCGTCCCCACCAAAGCTCATGTCAAAATCTGATCCCCAACCTGGCAATGTTGGGAGCAATTTGTGTTATGGGGGCAGATCCCTCAGGAATGGATTAATGCTCTCCCTGGGGGGTGGGGGGTAATGAGTGAGTTCTCAATTTATTAGCTCCCATGAGAGCCAGTTGTTTAAAAAGACCCTAGCTCCTCTCTCTCTCCCTCTCTCTCTCTCTCTCTCCCTCTCCCTCTGTCCCTCCCCCTCCCCCTCCCTCTCGCCATGTGATCTGCTTGTACCCACCAGCTGCCTGCCACTTTCTGTCATGAGTACAAGCAGCCTGAGGCCTGCACCAGATGCAGCTGTCCTAGAATTGTAAGCCAAATAAACCTCTGTTCTTTATAAGTTACCCAGTCTCAGGTTTTCTGTTATAACAACACAAAAATGGACTAATACACAACCCTAGCAAAGTAATACAGCTGTTTTTACCAATTCTACCACACTTCCTTTGGGGATTATTTAAAATTACTGCTCTGAACCACAATGGGTTAGCACCACATCCCCAACAGAATGGTTAAAATAAAAAGAGCCAACAACTCTATGACTGCTGAGGATGACATAAAGAGAGTAATGCCCCAGAATGATTACCTGTGCCCCAGCAATGCTACAACCAACAGAAATTTGCCCATCTGTACCCTGAAGCCACAACAACACTACTACTAACACCTCATGATCAGGAAACTTCTCATATTCCACATCCCTGTTGGAATGGATAAAGAAGCTATGACATTTCTACACAGTGGGATCCTACCAGGCATGGGAATGAGAAAGCTACAACTACACACAACCACACAATGACGAATCTCACAAACACAAAGTGGAGAAAAAAGTGAGGTACATAAAAACACTTACGTTATTCCACTTACAAGAGGCTTAAAAACTGGCAAAACCTTTTGAGGCCAATAGCAGTTAGGATTGCAGTTTTCAGATGGGGAAATAACCAGGAAAGAAGGAGGGTCTTCTGGGGACAGGCAATGATCTGTTTCTTGATTGGAGGGACAGGGATTCAGAGTGTTCCCTAGGTGAGAATCTGTTGAACCTTTTGAGGCCAATAGCAGTTAGGATTGCAGTTTTCAGATTGGGAAATAACCAGGAAAGAAGGAGGGTCTTCTGGGGACAGGTAATGATCTGTTTCTTGATTGGAGGGACAGGGATTCAGAGTGTTCCCTAGGTGAGAATCTGTTAAGCTGCACAATTATGATTTATGGATTTGTATGATATAGTTAAATAAAACCTTCACCTAAAAATAATTTTAAGAGGATCTTCTGGCCAGCAGTCCCATGTCCAAAGTTCACAGAAGGCAGAGGTTGGGCAACAACTCACTGGATTGAAAAGTTGAGAGGCTAGAGGTGCCTTAATGGCCTCTTGAGATTCAGCCTAGAAGCTCTCACCTTTTTGGTCTGCAAACTGTCCTTCAGGGCAGGAGCTGCACTCGAAACAACAGTGGGGGAATCCCTGTCGGGGGATCTGGCTAAATCCTGGAGCACAGCTCCTGCTGCAGACAGAGCTGGGGACCTGAGGATGGATGAGCACGGGTGTTGTCAGTGACAAATCCAGAAACACAGGGCATAGGTCCTGCCCTGAACCATCCCAGAGAAGCAGTCCAGTGTCCTTACCACCTACAAGATGAGAGGCTCCTTTCAGGGGAAAAATTATTCAGATTACATTTAAAAAATGAAAATAGAGAGGCACCACAAATAAAACAAAAAAGGTAAACCCTCAGAAGGAGCTCCACCTGCTTCACCTGACTGATGGAGGGAAATCTTAGTAATGCAGTGTGAAGTGGCACTTTTCCAGTGTCTTTGAGAATCCTTCATCAAGAATTGTAGGTGCTGGGCCTCCCCCCATGCACACAAACTTGCATTGTGTAGGCAGTGGCCCTCCCACTTACACAGATCCTGCAAAGGGATGGGTCTGCCTCCTTCATCCCATCTATCACCTCCAGGCAAGGGTTATGAGGAGAGAGGTAGGGATGAGTATGTGTTTGGGAGACATGTGGCAAACTGGAAGTCTGGAAGCTCCAAAGGGAGCATAAGGCCCTCCCTAGCTCAAGCCAGTTGAAAGGGACTTCTAGAGAATGTTTTGAATGCTTATCCTGTGTTCCCTGGGTTTGAGAGGTTCAGAGATGGGAGTCTGACTCCTACTTGAAAAACCTTAAAGCGATACTGACTGGAGGTGCCTCCCAAAACAAATGAAGGTGAGGGGGCAGTGGTGGGGGTTACACGTCCACGTATTGTGGCCAGAGGGCCAGGGCTTTTCTACAGACCAGAGTGAACATCTACACACTCTTGTCCCAAGACAACAACTCGATTTGTGAATAAATAAAAAGAGAACACCTGTTTTGCTCGCCTCCCAGATGCTTAATGGGAACATGTTTGGTGAAGTATATTGCTGTCTTCCCAGGTAAACTGTTAGCCTCTTCACTGAGCAGATTTCTCTATACAGACAAGATAAAATATATATATATATTCTAGAAGAATACTCCTGATGCAGAATCTAACTTGACTTCTGTGGCTCTGATATTTTCATTTTTAGATGATGAGTAAATGACTTTCCACCCTCAAATAAGGATCTACCGTGGATAAACAGCATAGTTAAGTTATGATTGGCCCAATTTAGAACTACATATACATCACGCATCAAATAAAGATTGGATCATTAGCCTTTGAGTTTCCCTCTGATTCTAGTACACCAGGACGGGTCATCCATACACCCAGGCAACTCACCTGGAGCTCCTCCTTCATCAAGTGGACTGTCATTCTGTCCTTTAGAGAGGCCCTTGGGTGAATTTTTCCTATGTGGAAAAAGTGAAATAGTCCCTCGGTGGTCTTCTGCCCATAAAGAATGTCAAACTCTGTCACTAAATCTCCATTGACATCAAACTTGATCTCTCTCCTATCAGGGGTCTTGAATTGCACATTCCTGAGGGAATGAAGAAGCTGTGGGGGAAGGAAGGGTGACACTGTTGATTGACAGGGACCATTCCCTGAGGTCTGTCCTAAAGGACTGAGGACAATGACTACTGCAATAAGTAGATCATTCTCAACGCAGGGCCAACACAGAAGGCACAAGGCCCATGATATTTCTGAGGGCTCATGAAAATTTTATAATTCTGACTTCTGTAAAATAAGAATAAATAAATAAATAACGAAGTAATAGTGCATACATAATCATGAACCCAGCCCTGATTATATTTATCTTTATGCCAAGGTTCTTATAAAAAGGAATTTGTAATATTTTTCCAATGGGGAAGGAAAGAACAGAAGTCACAATGGGGCCCTGGCTTCAGGGACTCTCTGGCTGTGGACTCCCATCTCCAGCCTTCCCATTACACTCTGAGTGGGGTCCAAACGTTGGCATGACCTACACAGACTGGCCCATGCCCACCTGATCACAGCATGATCCCTTAACCCAGCCTCCCACACTTGCTCTGCTTCAACCACGTAGCTTTTTTTGCTCATTCCCATCCTAGGATTTTTGCATGTTCTGTGCATGCCACCCACAATACTGTCACTCTTCCCATGGCTGGATCCTGATCTTCCTGGATGAAGCTCAGGTATCTCTGCAAAGAGAATTTCCCTGACCTTTTCATTCTCTTCACTCCCTCCCCACCACTTCATTCATTCTAAGTCTTCTTTACAGAACACAACATGACATAGCCCTATTCATGTACTTGTTCATCTGTCTCCACCTTCTAAAAAGTCAGCAAACACCATTGTCCACCCTGTCCACAATCATATGTATCCTCAGTCCTTAGAGTAGCACCTGGCACATAGTAGAAGAGTTTCCAGATATAATATAAAAGGCCTAGTTAAATTTAATTGCAAATAAAAGAATGACACTTCTTTTTTTTTTTTTTTTTTCTTTTTTGTTTTTTTTCCTGGAAGGGATACACCTGGCCTCTCAGACTCTCATTCCCTGAGCAGAACTGAACCTTCCCTGACACTGTGCTGTTCCCTGCTGATTCCAGGTTCCTGTGTGGCCATGTGCATCCAAAGGTGCTCTCCCAGAACCTTTCTATAAATGGGTCTTCTGGGGTCCAGGTGGGGTGCAGGTGAGCAAGGAACTCGGGAAAGCCGGGGACCTGGATGCTGTGCTGCAGAAGGCTGAATGTGCTCTGTAGGACCTGGGAGATGCCTGGCATGGTCAGAGCAAGCGCTGTGTGCAAAGTGCTTTGACTGGCCCAGACCTTGCCAAAGACACCACGGCCCAGCAAACCCTGCAGGACGAGCTGGAAATTCAAGTTGCTCAGGAAAACCAGAACAACAGTAGCAGTGCAGCTCTCCATCTTCTGGACGATGGAGTTGATCTTCTCCAAGGACTGTCTGAAGGGAACGTAGAGGTGGAACTCGATGCAGATGCCAGCCTGGGTTAACTCCTGGGTCACCAGAGAGCTGCCCTGCTGCCCAAAGTCATCGTCCTGTGCCAGAATGTTCACCCAGGACCAGCGGAAGTGGATCACCAGCTGGGCAATTGCATGGGAGAACATAACGTCACTGGACAGGGTCCGAAGGAAGGATGGAAATTGGGTCTTGTCACTGAGGCTGGCCAGAGTGGATGAGTAACTGACCTGTGTGAGAAGGGGTCAGGAGAGGGGCTGAAAACCAAAAGCTCAGCCATGATTAATCTTCAGGTTTACAGGAGAAAAGGCAGGCACAGTAAGAACAGAGTGATGGTGACCAGCTCCTCCCAGATTTCCCCGGCTGTATTTCCCAGTTTTGTTGCTAAAAGTCCTGCATCTTATAAACACCCTCAGTCCTGGGCAAATGGGGATAGCTGGTCATCCTAGTTAAATCAGAGCCCTGGACACAAACATCTCTCATAAAACATTAGCAGCTGCTGTTAGATGGCCTAGCCCAGAGTGTCTCCAGTGTTAAAGTGGGACCCTGTTAAGGTGTAGGTGCTGATTCGAAAGGTCCAGAGTGGTGGTCCAGAGTCTGCATTTCTAACAGTCTCCCAGCTGATATGATTCTCAGTCTATACTTCTGAGTGGTGAGGGCCTAGCCCACCATGGAATCATTATATAACACTTGAAAAATACCGACACTTGAACCATCTCCACCATCCTTTTGTTCCTCATTCGCGAGTTAGATAAATCTGTGCATATTTAGTCCCTCATTGTAGGAGAGTTTGTGTGATAGTTTTTGAAAACTATGCTCTGGGAGTTATGGAGGTTCCACCAAGATGTCCAGGTGGGCTCACCTGCTCCTGTGCTTCTCACTGGCTGGTTAAGCCCAGACACGTCCCTTTTGTGGCTTCTGGAATGAAACCCAGGAAGCAGTTGAACTTTGTTCCTTTCGTTTACCTGTTTTCAGGGCCCCTCATACTGTGTTTTATGTTTCTGTTTCTTAGTCAGACTGGGTTCTGATTCTAGTTCTGGTTTGCACAGAGCTGATAGGTTATTTTTTATCGGTGGTGGCAAAGAAGCAGTTGAACTTTGTTCCTTTCCGTTTACCTGTTTTCAGGGCCCCTCATACTGTGTTTTATGTTTCTGTTTCTTAGTCAGACTAGGTTCTGATTCTAGTTCTGGTTTGCACAGAGCTGATAGGTTATTTTTTATCGGTGGTGGCAATGCTTTGGAACCTGCTCATGTGGCCTGACCATTTTGTGATTCTTGTGGTGTATATGATGGGAACTTGTGCTTTGTGGGTGAGAGATGACAGGAAATCTGGTTTGTCAATTTTTGCTGCTTTGTTGATTTGTCAATAAAGAGATTACTCCGTGTGCCCTGCAAGAAAGAAAAACCCCTCAAGATGTGGGCCAACAGGGTTTTGTGACTGTGTTTGCCTTTGACCCATGGCTAAAGTACAGAATGAAGCTGCTCAGTCTGCAGATGTCTGTAATGGGTAAAAGTCTTCAACCCTCCTTGTGTGAGTGCAAAACATTCTTCTACGATCAGAAGGTAGTAATGAAATAGATTATATGAAGGTTATACTGTCTTAATGTAAAGGTACTTTGGCCTAACTGGTTTATAGATGGATAATGCTGATTCACTTTCATATAAGTAGGGCTTCCAGATTTCACAAATAAAAATACAGGATACCCAGTTAAATTTAATTTTCAGGTAAACAGTAAATCATATTTTACTTTATTACCTGTATACCCCAGGCAATATTTGAAACAAACTTGTACAAAAAAATTATTTGTTGTTCAACTGAAATGAAAATTTAACTAAGGGTGATGTATTTTATCTGGCAGTGCTACATATATGGATAAACAAAAGTTTCTTTTAATAATGGAGTTTCTAATCCTTTAAATGTGCTCAACTTTAAAAGAAAAGGGAAAACCCTCTTTTTAAAGAAAACTAGTGCAGAAGGATTTGAGTAAGAATTCAGGTTGAGATAATCATGATAAATTTTTTGACAAACCAGCCCGGTTTGATCATTTGATGCTAAAAATACCTGTAGCAACAATATGGATATTAGAAGATATTTTACAAAAATCAGCTCTCTTTTTTCTCAGGATAGAACTAAACTAATTGTGCAATCAAGCCCATTACTGAAGTGTCACATTCGAGAATAAATCTTACCACAACAAGCACGCCAAGAAGCAGCAAGGATTGGGCTTCCTCTCTAGCAAAAACACTCACAAAGCCATCCCCCAAAATGCCTCTTCAAACTGTTCTATGACTTAAAAGGGGTCCCAACTTCAAAATTAAAGAAAATGCTTCCTACTGGCAGGCCAGAACTTAGCAAACTTAAGGAGTTTAAGGAGATAGGAGTTCACTCAAATTTATAGGTTTCACAGTCTAAGATGAGTGAATTTAAACTGAAATTTTCTTATAATGCTGGTAGGAATGTATAATGGTGCAGCCTCTTTAGAAAACATTCTAGCATATCCTCAAATAGATAACAGAGAGTAAACTTTTGATCCAACAATTTCACTAATATACCCAAGATAATTAAAAACACATATATACACAAAAATCTATACATGAATGGTCGTAATAGCACTATTCACAAAAGCCGTAAAAATGAAACAGTTCATATGGTCATGAGCTGATTAAAAATAAGCAAAATGTGGTCTGTTCATATGATGATATATTAATCATCAATAAAAAGAAATGAGCACTGATACATTGGACAATGTGGACAAATCTTGAAAGCATTATGCTTGGTGAATGAGGCCAGTCACAAAGACCATGTAGCACATGCTTCCACTACAAAATGTCCAGAAAAAGCAAATCCGTGAACAGAACATGGATTAGTGGCTGCCAGAGGATGATGGTGATGGAAAGTGACTGCTAATGGGTTTGAAGTTTCTAAGTGGAGTGATAAAAATGTTCTTAAATTGATCACGGTGATAATCGCACCACTTTTAACACACTAAAGTCACAACATTGCTTGCCTTAAATGGGTTAATTGTATGCTATGCAAATTACCTCTCAGTTAACCTATTAAAAATATGAATTGGGGGAGAGGCAGCCCTTGCATATGACTACCATTGTGTGAATGGTACTGAGGGCCTGAAATTTAGGAAACACCATCAGGATGGAGGTTAAACTGGTGGGATGAGCCCTATTTCCTGGAGTGAAATCCTAGCTTCAGTACCTCCCAGCTGTGATCTTGGACCCATCATTGATTTTTCTCTAAATCTCAGATTTTCATCAATGTAGGGGGGTTTATTGTTCTCTCAAAACAAGTTTATGGTGAGGAGAATTGCATCAGGCTTGAAGAACATTAGCTGAAAACTTGGCCTCACGACAGCAGTGTCTCAATACCATTTTCATTGTCGTCCTTACCATCATTACTGTTAGCAAAGAGCAAAAGCTTTGAAGTAACTCACCTGGGGAAATTTATAGAGCCCCAGAAGCCTGGCCATAGCAACAGACAAGACTGACCGAGTGTCTCCAACCAGCGCAACGCGGGGAATGCTGAGCTGACACGTGTAGTTCGGAATCGGCTCCTCTTGCCCTGTGAGAAAGCCCATCATCTCATGGAGGGCTCCGTGCACACAGTCCCAAGAATTCCGGATGGAGAAGCCCAGTGTGAGGTTGGGCAGCAGGTGGGCATCCCTGTTGATCTCCTCAATGGCAAATACAAAACTCTGGGCCACCAGGTAGTTCCACCTGGAAAGTCTGAAAGAAAGAGAAGCCCATGTTCCTCATTGGCCATGGGTGCAGATGGAACAGGAATGAATGAAGTTTGTCACTCCTGTGAAAGTCGTCAGAATCAAAATGGTGTCATTTTGGGTTTTTTTTAAAAAAGGAAGAAAAAATCCTGACAAAAAGAACCAGAGAAGACCCTAAAGGGAAGGGTTCTCATGCATTTATGCCGAATAACAAGAACTATCACAAAGGACCGCAACACCACAACTTTGCATAGTTGCAACTATTTCAACCTTAATAAAAAATACTTCTGCAAAAACATCTACCTAGCAGCTGTCTGTCCAGTTATTGGAGTGAGCAGGATGGAAGCCATGTTGGGACCTAAAACCACCTGGACTGTGAGAAGATTTTTTAAATACGCAGGTTTTCCTTCTTTCTTTATCTCCCATCCCCTGACTTTCTTATGTTGCATGCTAAGTAGAAAAACAGGGCTGTTGAAAGCTAATCAGTATCTCACAAAACTAACAATTCTTCCTTGAGACTTGCAGAATTCCAACACCAGCCAGAGCCCATCAAAGCTACGTGGTGACTTTGCAAAGAAGCTGATTCCACCCCAGAGCAAATCAAAATCCTGCAGAACCCTAAGATAACATCAAAGACAAGAACAGAAACCAGATGAAGCCTTGGGGAAACCCCACCTGGTTCACTGCATGGAGCTCCCACAGCTTACATTCCCTTTCCTCCTGCTTCTCACTTCCATGCTTCTTACCCCATAAAACCCCTCACTGAACAGGGCCAAGGGCCCTGGCCATGCCCCCACTCACATCCAGGCAAGTGACAGAGCTAGCCAAGACACCTGGGGGTCCTGAGATGGGGCCAAGGGCCAGCCACTCCCCCTTCTGCAGATCTTAGAATATACTTATTAGCCACTATGCATTTCTTTGGGGTGTGCGACTTATCTGCTCATGTCCTTCACCAAATTTCTGCTTAGATTTTTCTAATCCATTTTTAAGAATTGTTTTTACAATATAAATAAATAAATATATATAAATGGAACAATCCAGTTCTCTTTAAACAGTATTTATATATAAAATAATCAAATAATTCTCCACATTTATATCCAGATAGTTGCTGAGAGTTATCATCACGTTAATTACTTATCATATGTCTTGTGATTTGAACACTGTAACTAACTAGTAAATGTATATTTTAAATATCTATAGATCATTTATATTAAAAACCCAAAGAAAAATCATTTGGTTTCTTTTCCAGAGTAACTAAAAACTTTGTGTCAAAGAAGGAAAAAAGATTAAAACCAGAAGTTAGAGATGGTGAAGAGAATAAACACACACACACACAAAAAAAACCCTCAGTGAAACTGAGCTTTTGAGGTGATTAACCTACCTTCTCCTCAGCTGAATAAAGCTGCCTTTCCTTTTCACCAGCATTTGGCTTTTGAGTCTTTTTTAAGACAGCTAGACTTGGGTTCGGTAACACAACTTCAGACTGCCATCACCCTTGTTATCGATTCTTGTAGCCGAGAATAATGCTCCCAAAACAATTATGTAATCATCTATCGCTTTTCCTTTAAAACCCTGTCTTCCTTTACTTCACTGAATGTGCATGTAGTTCACTATGGCACATGTATTCTCATTGCAATGTTTATTCCCAATTAAACTCAATATTATTTTTTAGAGAGCCTCTCTCTGTTTCTTATTTAGGTCGACATAAATGATGCTCAGAAGCAGGATCTGAAGTAAAGATTACCTTCAGAGGAAACTGGCGATTCTTAGAATCAATGTGCACGACTCTCTTGAGCCCTTTGAGCTTTCCACTTCCACCGTTAACCTTGTTCTGTTTTAGTGAATCTTCTCTCAGGCTGAGCCTACCTTTTTCATAGAGGTTTTCGATTTTATTTGGGAATTGTTTGGGTTATAAATCCACCTTAAACAAAAGGCCTTACATCCCTCCTAGGAAGATAAAAGACTTTTTGTCTTTTCTGGCAAGTCCTTTATGGTGTAAAGACAAGTGTTTGGGGTTTGAGTGCTCTGGTTTTCTACAGAATTTATATTCTGTGTGGTATTCTTTTCTGGTGAATTCACTTTTGGATTCTGCATGCCTAATTTAATATTTTATTTGATCTACACCCCAAGGTTAAAATTTTTGTGAACACTTTGATGTTGGCTTCATTTAGGGTTACTTATGAATGTCTATAAATGATTGGGCTGTTTTCTCTTGCTGTTTCTAAAAATCTTTCAAGAGTAAAATTAAATATTCTAAATGGTGGGCATAGGAGGACTAATTAACCACCACCAAAATAGTTGCTACCACCTAAAATGTTGGTCCAAACTTCTGAAATTTTCTGACAGGTTTTAAAAGATTTTACTTGCTCTCAGGAGATTAATAAGAAATGGAAAATGGAATGGGATTTTTACACATTTAGGCATGCCAAGTTTTCAAAGCCAGCTACATCACTTTTTCTCATGCACATTTTTAAATCAATAGCCATCATAGGGATCATTCAGACTGTCCAAGTTTGTTTTTCTTAGCACCAAATTAAGAGACCACAACTATAGATTTGACATCTAGACCTCCTATGTTCTCTCTCTCTTTTTTTTTTTTTTTTGTGTGTGTGTGTGTGTGTTTTGCTTTTGATTTTGTTTTCTCTGCCTACTTTTAATTTGCTGTTTCTTTT